AACTTCCTAACATTTAAATATTATATTATTAATAGTTATGTAGCTGTTTTGTCTGCTGCCCAGCAACTCAGCGCAATCGATTGAGGAAGTTGCCAATCCTTCAAAATGGCAATTAAATGTAGTGCACCGATGCTTTCTTCCTCAGGCTGAACACGATTTGATTCTAGCGTGTTGTATGGTGATGATGAATAATGTACTGCCATATCGTTGATCATTTCCCGCAGCCTCCTGAATTGGCATTTCATTTACGTAACGGAAGGGCAATCATTACAATGCGTTTGCGGCGACCTTCTGGGAGATGCACGTTGATCATTTCCCGCAGCCTCCTGAATTGGCATTTCATTTACGTAACGGAAGGGCAATCATTACAATGCGTTTGCGGCGACCTTCTGGGAGAAGCACGATGAGAAGCCCCTACGTTACATCGTCAATGTGGATGAAACAGCAGTGTACTATGACATGCCACCTCGTACGTGGTGTGAAATTGGCGAAGACGCGAAAGTGGATTCGACCGAGAAGCACTCCGATCGCCTCACGGCCGTGCTTGGAGCCTGCACCGATTGTGCGGTATGGTGCGGTGCTGCATACGGCTGACATGTGACGTAGGGACTAAGCTGCCAATATCATCGTGCGTGGGCAACCCGGTGGGCCGATCGAGACTGATAAAGTCCCAACGTATCCTGCTGGACACGTTTACGCGGTTCAAGAAACAGCTTGGATGGATGAGAGTGTGTGGGTATATTATCTCAAGGAGCTGTTGAAGTATGAGCTGGTTGGCCTGTCAGTCTTGCTGGTAGACAACCTCGCTGCACATGTGTCTTACACGTCGCGGCGCACTGTCGACGAAGAGCTGTATGGTTTCTTGGAGCCGCTGCCGTCAAACACAACAAGCGTGTCCCAGCCTCTCAACGTTGGCGTGATGGGGCCACTGAAGGCCAAGCTCCGGTCTTTGTGGCTACAGGAGAAAGCTGTGAAGTCTGCGGCATAGAAGAGAATGAAGATGTTTGAACGCACGATCAAGGCATGGGAAAGTTTGAGTGAGTCTGCGGTGAAAAGGTCATTCGAGAAAGCACCGCCACGCGTCCCTCGCGAGCGATGCGAGCCATCCATGAGCGAAGCGAATCACGAGCGTAGCGAGTAAGCCCCGTAGGCCAATTTTTTTGATATACTTTATTTGAGTCTATTGGACGAACGGTGAGGATTTAATGGTTTTTGACTGTTGCATTTACTCCTTCGATGTTTGGCTACCTGTTGG